GTATCAGGATCGTATCGAATCGGTCCAAAAACAGTTTCTTCTCTTTGCCTTAAGAGACCTTAGATGGGACAGTAATTTACGATTACCGTCTTATCATAGTAGGCTCCAGCTAATTGATCTTCCATCGCTAACCAATCGCAGAACAATTTTAGGAATTGTTTTTCTGCATAAATTGATTAGTGGTGATATTGATTCGTCCTCTTTGTTGGGTCGTCTAAATTTTTTGGTTCCGTCCCGAGCAACTAGACACTATCGTCCGCTTCATTTACCTGTGTGCACTAGGGATTATTCTTTGCACAGTGCGTTTCATGTTCTTTGTGTTAATTTTAATAAATATTATCACGTTTTTTCCTTAGAGCTCTCTCCTCCTAAAATAAAAAGTGTACTATCAGCTTATCTTAGGGAAATCACTCACAATGCCCAGGCATAAGCATTGGCATACGCTTTTGCTGCTAATGTTGTGTTAGTGATTTCTCAATTCTATTCTTATACTCTATTTTTGGCTCTTCCATTACTCTTTTCTTTTTATTATTTCTTATTCTTTTTATTAACTTTTCTTGCAACTTCTCTTATTACCGGCCTTTTTCTTTTTCTATACTTTACCTCTTCTTATTTTATTCTTTTTTTATTATTGTTTTTTTTTTTAACTCCTTTTATTTATTTATTTATTTTATTTTATTTTTTTTTAATATTATTATTATTTTTTTATTTTTTATTATTATTTTAAGAATTATTTTAAGTATGCTAAATATTGTTTAATAACCTACATTTTAATATTTTATTTTTTTAAGTTTTCTTACTAACACTTTCTTTTCATAGCTTCAATAGTATCACTGACCATATTTGGCTGTGAGACGTGGGCATAGCCGGCCGGACTGGCAAATAAAATACCCCCATCGGGTTGGTGTTACTATTGAAATTATATCGTGTACTTTGTATAGGCTTTTTTAAATTAAAATTGACTCTCATTTTTGTCAATAGCTTTAAGAAAATAAATAAATAAATAAGCGCTAATAAGTACGCAAAAGTGTAGATAAGTGGGAATAAGTGGCTTGGACTGTTCGGGCTTTTGGCTATAACTGACAGTGTTGCTAAATGTGAATGAATTGTTAAGAATGTATTGGCATAGTTGCGATGAAACACTTTGATATAATGAATGCTGATATAATGAATACATATGAAAGATATATTTCATTTATACGTATGTATATATAGAGAAGGAGATGAACATATGTATATGTATATAATGAACATAATCTAGATATATAACAGACATATGACATATAGGCAGATATAGCAGCATTTGCTAATCTTTTTCAAACATTTTTTTATATTTGCCGACCATAATTAGTTGCTTATCATAATTAGATATTACACAATTCCCATTGCAAATATTTAGCACATCACTGAAGGCCTCAACGTTTCTCAATTCTCTATCAAATCGGTGATTATGTCGATCGTAAGAGGTGCTAAACAATATTGCGCCGTGGCTCAAAGGGCAAACAAGAGTTGACCCATTTATGAAGACGGCTAAATGCCAGGCTCAAAAAATATGCCGCAACCGGATCAATAAAGTAGCACACACACGTGTATAGGGTTGTGTGTTTGTATGTGTGTGTGTGTGTGTACGTGTGTGGAAAGTGGACGCTGCCTGGGAGGGCGTGTATCGATGCGCGCATTGCCATAATTACCGCTGCCCATGGGCTCAGCCAATGATGCCAATTGTTTGCACTCTGCCGGCCGCTCTCATTCGATCTCTACGCACTCTTCACTTCTCTGCCCACTCACACTCCCTCTCTCTCTTTCTCTACCTCGCTCTCTGTCACTCTTGCGCTCGCGCGCGCTCCCGCCTTAGCCAAGCGCAAGTTTCTCTCGGGCAGCGCTGCAGCGCAGCTCGACGTCAAGTTTGTGTTTGACGGATGACGACGTCAACGTTGACGTCGACGTTGACGCTGCCGAAAAAAGTCAGTCAGCGCGCGAGCTGTAAGCAGCAGCAAGCAGAAGAAGAAGAAGAAATGAACATATTCACTTAACAAACAAGTTGACTTTATCTTTCCGTTGTCTTCTTTTTCTCTTTTCTTGTTATTTTTGATGTTGTTGTTTGGCCCGTTTGGGCCCGCTGTTGTTGTTGTTGTTGTTGCTGTTCCCTAGATTTATGCATGTGCTCAGTGCCTTCATTTTCGCGTCACTTTTTTCACAATTTTTGGTTGCTTCCGCAGTCGCTGCCTCTGCTGCTGCTGCGACTGCGCGGCGGCTGCGTCTTTTACTTAATTTACTTAAAAATTGTTTTGTAACGTCAAGTTCGACGCCGGCTGCGCAGCTGTCACAAAAGCTGCCGGAATATATAAGGCTAGACGTCTTCCAACTTCATCAAATTCATCTCGACCTCAGTAGCAACAGCAGCAGCAGCAACAGCAGCAGCAGCAGCAACAGCTCCCAGTCAACAGCCAAGGATTAAATCGCGTCGCGTGTCATCAAAAGTTCTCGAACTAAAAACCTAAACGAAAATGAAAGTGTTTTCCATTGCCTGTGTGTGCCTCGTCTTGGCGGCCAGCAGCGCCTGGGCCGCGCCCAGTGTGCAAGATAATCGCGTCGAAAGTGATAACACGCTCGGACGTGCCGCCCGCTATCTGGGCGCCTGCCTCGAGAGCGATGACATGACCACCTGTCTGGCCGTCAAGGGCATTACCGCACTGAATCGCGCCGCCAGGAGCAACAACATTGAGCTAATCAATGGCGTCACCTTCCAGAGGTGTGTGTGAAAGTGAAATGTTGCAAACGAATTGTCGAGTGCATTCGCATTGTGTCTTGTCTTGTCTTGTCTTGGCTCCGAGTTCAGAGTTCAGAGTTCAGAGTGTTCTAAGTTGTGTTTTCTTCATGCCCGTTGCAGAGATCCCGCCAGCCCCGTGCAGCGCAGCGGCAAGTCCCTCAGCGAGCAGGACATCTATGCTGAGCTGCCACAGAATGGCGATGAGCGCAACGGCCGCCTGGTCGATCTGGCCATATCCAGTGCCACCGACTTCCTGAGCACCCACAACTTGGAGTTCAAGCTGCCCGCAGAGACCACCCAGCAGGTGGCACGCGCTCTGGATGAAGGTACATAGCAATTCAATCAAAACAAATTCTCTGATCCACTTTCGGCTAACACTGTTGTGACTCTCTGCTCTCCGTGTTCCGCTCCATTTACAGGTCGCGGCAAGATCAAGAAGATGATTGGCCCCATTGCCCTGGCCATTGGCGCTAAGCTGTTCGCTGTCATTCCCTTGGTGCTCGGCTTCCTCGCCCTGTTGACCTTCAAGGCCGTCGTCGTGGCCAAGATCGCTTTCTTCTTGGCCATTCTGGTCGGCGGCTCCCGCCTGCTGAGCGGCTTTGGCAACAAGTTCGGCGGCAGCGCCATCGGTGGCTACAGCTCGAACGCCTGGTCCGCCCCAGCCACCGCTGGCTGGAGCTCGGGCGCCTCCTCCGCCTATCCCTATGCACGCAGCATCACTGTCGACAATGCCCAGGAGCTGGCCTACGCCGGCCAGCAGCCGGAGCAGCAGCAGCAGCAGCAGTAAGCGGACCTCGTTTCACTTCGGCCAATAGCCAGAAATGTGCCTTTTCTTTTAATTGAAAATCTAGCTTGTAGTAATTTATTCGAGACGTGAAGCTGACGCGTATTTAATTGCCTAATTTATTATTGTATAACACAACATTGCAAAAAACAGAGAAAGAGAATAAGAAGAAGAAGAAATACTTCACATTGTACAAGACACCAGCTAAAGAGTCATGTTAATAAAATCGATAAATACTTTAAACTTGGCCTTAACTTTCAGAGCGTATGACCCTTTTAGATGTGGCCAAAAGTAAAACGGTGGCAACACTTTCCCAAGGCACTCACAACTGGTTGCTAACTATTTATATGATATATACATATATATATGTTTTTATATATGCGCTCGACTTTTAGGCAACTTGTTTTCTGGCTATTAAAACAAAAGTTTTTGGCCAGTTCTTGAGCGCCGACACAGAGCTGGCCACATGCCCAATTGATGCACGTATATATGGATATGTATATGTCTGTGTATATGTATGCGTGTGTGCGTATAGTATAGTTTGGATATTTTTGGCATTTGCCACGCCCCATAATTGAAATATTTCCATGTGGGCCTGGGCACATTAATTGCCGTCAACTTTCTACATGGCTGATGCGATCGAGCAAATGCGAGCATGTGCGACCATTTAGCTTTCTTTTGCGCAGATTTGTCAAAGATTTAGAAGCAATTGAAATAGAAAACGAGACTTGACTCGAAGAGAATGAAATCGAAAGCGTTGAAAGCGTCGCGCTGCTGCCGTCTCTAACGGGGCCAAAGCGCGCATTAAGCGAGCCGCCGGCTGGTGCATACCAAATATGGCCAAGTACGCTGGCCCCTAATAATAATAATCGCTTTTAATGCCATTCAATGGACGGACGGGCTAATGGGAGCTCCAAAGAATCTGGCACATAAGCAAATGGAGTCACGTTCCTTGCCGTCCCGGGGCGTGGCTGTTGCATGCCAATTGCGATCGGCTAACGGTGAGACGACACCCAATTGTCCCAGCTCACCTCTCCCCACCTGTCCACACCTGTCCACACCGCAGTACACCTCTCCGCCGGCATGGCAGTCAAAAGGAAATCGGGGCATTTGCTTATATAAAATAATAATATTCAAACCGCTCGACGACGACTTCCCTTTCGTTTGGTCGTGGGACGTGCGTGAAAATATGGTCAAGAAATTTTTTGGCCATCGGCTGCGACTGTGCCCCATCGCACTAGCATACGCATAAAATTTGCATAAATTGTGAATGTGGCTGTTGCTGCTATATTTTGTTTTGTGTGTGTGCTTTGGCCCGTCGATTTCTAGCCACCAAATTGGACAAAGTGCGCCGCGCTGTGCCCGGCGAGCAATGGAGGCACGCGTTCGCATTGGAAAGGTATAAAACTGCGGCCCATTGCATTCAATTAATCACAAAGCAACTCCCTATCACAAAGCCAACAGCAGTGTGTGCTCTGAACGCATTGCTAAAGCCAAGGACTATCCAAAAATATCAAACCAATTAAATCGGCTAACGGCTCCTCTCCCCGTCCCAAGTCAACCAATATTAAAATGTGCGCGAAATTCGTTTGTGTTGTGCTCGTGGCCAGCTTTGTGTGCGGCGCTCTGGCTCTGCCCTCGCAGGACAGCAGCGAAAAGGACTTAGTGAATTTGCTCAATAAGCTGGATAACGAGGATTCGATTCCATTGTTTGGCGGCCTGCGCATCGATCGCACCGAAACCGGTCGCAGCTTCGGCTCCGCCAAAGGTCTCGAATCGTTCGAGGATCGTGCCGAACGCTATCTGGAAACGCACGAGCTGAATCTCTCGTTCTCCGGCGATGAGCAGGATGAGAATGCCGAGAATGCATACAGCGGACGTGCCATGGAGGGTGAGTTGCCTCCAACGATTCCACGACTCGCTCGTAAAACTGGGCGTCAACTTTCACTCTAGTTGGCAATTGTCTGCAACTGTTGCCATTTGTTGGCAACTGTTTGCAACTCAGTTGCTGGTGCAATTGACAGGCAGTTTGTTGCAAGCACTTGTAGCTACAGCATTGAGCCTTCGAGCCTTGGCCGACTGCCAGATTGCTTGAGTGCCTCACTGCTTGGCTACTTGGCTGCGTGGCCGTAAATTGCGCATACGCCGCGTGCACACAAGTATTTGCCGATTTATTGCTCAACTCGTGTTGCATACTTTGCAGCTGCAGCAAGAGCTGCCAATTTACTCACTCGACTTTGCATATTTTTGTGCTAAACAAGAAATGGTTTTCGATTTCTCTCCACTTTCCACAGAGTCGCGCAGCAAGCGCATGAAGAAGATGCTGCTGCCCCTGCTCTTGATCTTGAAGCTGAAGAAGGCGGTCGTCGTCAAGGTCCTGTTCACCATCATCAAGTTCATCTCTCTGAAGGCTCTGGCCATCTCCTTCCTTGCCCTCATCCTGGCTGGTAAGTGCCTTGTGGCGGACAGTAATAAGTGAGCTGTTTCATTGACGAATCACTCTGTGTAGGTGCCACCTTCTTCAAGGACTTGTTGGCCAAGAAGAAGGACCACATCACCACTGCCTACATCACTGGCAGCCCATTGAACGCCGAGATTGTGCACTCCGACTGGAACCGCAACGGTCAGGCCAGCGCTGCCGACTTGGCCTACAACCATTATGGCCTGGCTCAGCCCTTCTAAGCATTTCTCCACAATCCAATCCACCAAATCATCCAAGAACTTTCCATTCAAATATCTTCCGCTCTATACGCTGTCCCCTCCCCTTGCTGTCCCTTTCCCTCTTTGCCCTTCCCCTCTCTAAAGACTTAGACCTCCCACATGGCTAAACTTGTTGTAGTGTTGTAGTCAATAATTATTTAGTTTAACTTAGTTAGTTAGCTGCGACATACCAAAAACAAAACAAACAAAAAAAACAAAAAAAAAAACAGAAAGAAAAAAGAAAAAGTAGAAAAGAAAAGAAGAGGAGATAAATCAACGGTGACAACCGAACATCAAATACGACTTCGCTAGCTCAGGATAACGCACACGGACTACATATACTAAATGCTTGCGCCATATTTATTGCACAATCAAACATGCTCTTCAAGCAGACATGCAGCTCAGGTTCACAAAGCAAAACAAAGCAAAAAAAAAAAAAAATAAAAAATAAAAAAACGAACAATAATGAAAAGAAAACGAAATGTAAGCAGGAATACTTAAATGTCTGCTAAAGAGCTTACTTATTAAGTATTTATTTTAATAATTTATAGCAATTGAATAAAAATGATTCATGAAATGCAAATTTATTGCGCTTTAATCATGGGCGGGTCATAAATTCTGCACGCAAGCTTAGTGCAAGCCAAGCTAGAGACGATTTATTGAACTCTTTATATATTATCAAAGTCAAAATTAATGCCTGCAGGCAAGAAAAATATAATTATGACACAAGGCGTGCTTGGTTTGAATCAGACTGATGTGTAAAAAAATAACATTATTTTAAATTTATTTTATATTTTACTTATTTATTTATTTATTTATTTATTTATTTGCTTATTTATTTATTTATTTATTTATTTATTTTTTTTTGCTCAGTGTTATTGTTAACATAACCATAATCAGTTTTATTTATTTATGAAGTAATTTTTCTTTTTTTTCAGAATAATAATATTTATATTTTTAATATAATTAATATTTAGCAATGTTATTATTATATCGTATTTTTAATTGAAAAATTAATATATTTTTTTTAATTTTTTTTTTTTTTTTATTATCGATATTATTATTATTTATTTATTTTGATTTTTTTATTTAATTTTATTTTAATTACTTTTTATTTCAATTTTATTAACATTAATATCACAACTCACAACTGTTGCCAATAGAATTCTCATCATCATTGTCATCACTATTATTAATATAAGTTATTTTAGTTTTGTTATTATTCCAATCAGAGCTACTATCAGCATGGCACCTAGCTTAAGCGAAAATCCATGCCCATTTATGCTGCTCGGCTTCGATGACTCAACAACTTGGCCCGCACAGCCTCCAGACGTGGCCGTATTAAAATGTTATTAGCAACAATGCGGGGCAATTAGCTAGTTAGTTTAGTTGTCTGTTGCCAGCTATTAATTAATAAAGGTACTTGGTACGAGGCACGCGACTTTTATCTGTCCCATAATTATGCAGGTATTTGTGAATTTTCTTTTTGGCTCAGGAAATTCATTAAGCTGGGACCCACTGGAGCAGTCGGTGACAAATTTTAGCCGCCCGTTGCGCTACACTGAGCGCCGTGCCACAGAGAGGAGGAAAGCGAAAGTGCCGGCCAGTGGCCAAGTTGGTTCGCTGCTTGGCTGCTTGGTTGGTTGGCTGGTCAGACTCAGTTGAACGGCTCTGGGAAGAATTTCGACCACAAATCGTGGTGTAATTAGAAAAGGTTCAAAAACAGCGGCCAACCTAAACCTAAATGCGGCAATGACTTTTCTTGGCGCTCAGTGCGTAGTGAAAGGGAAATGCCTATAAAAACCAAAGCCATAAAAATGAGTTGCTACAGTCACTCAAGAGCTTCACAAATCACTAGACTTACTTTCGCACTCACTTATATTAGCCGAAAAAAATAAATAAAAGAAATACAGAATTATGCTGTTGCTCAAGACCTTGGAGTATCTGTTTTACTTGGCCTGGTTCTGTTTGCTTTGCAAATATGCAGAGGCGGCAAGCGTGCAGCCCACGGAGCCGAGTGCAAAGTACACGGAGCCAACCCAAAGGAGTCCCGCAGTGGGCCTAAGCGAGTGCGAGTCGGGCAGCTTCAGCTGGATGTGCCTAAAAATAGAATTTGTGAAGATTATGGAGCGTCTAGCCGAGCAGAAGGAGCTCAATGTGCTGCCGGGCGTGAGCGTGGTCAAGGATGAGAATGCCACAGAGCTGAAAACCTCCGAGCTGATGGCAGGTGAGTTCAGCTTAATTATTCAAAGGGAAGTTGTATATTCACAAATGGCTGCATATTTGCAGAGGTCGCACGCAGCTATCCCAGCGATCCGAATACGCGACTCAATGGCTATATTCTGGCCAAGCTGGAGAACATTTTGAAGACGCGCGTCCTGCGCCTTCGGCTGCTGGACGACACCAGCTTTGAGGAGGGACGCAAGCACAAGTTTGGCAAGAAGGGCGGCATGGAGGCTCTCGTCGCTGCCGGCGTCATGATGAAGGGCATGCTGATGGCTCTGGGTCTCGGAGCCATTGCCATGATGGCCGGTAAGGCGCTGATGACAGCTCTCATGGCGCTCACGCTCAGCGGCGTGCTCGGTCTGAAGAGCCTGGCCAGCGGCGGTGGCAAGTCCACCACATACGAGATCGTGGCGAAGCCCGTGTACACGTCCAGCCATTCGCATTCGGTTAGCCACGAGGACGGCCACGGGCACAGCGCCCACTTTGCCGGCGTCGGCGCTGGCGGCGGCAGCGGCAGCGGCTATGGCTACGGGGGATACGCGCGCGCTCTGCACCTGCAGCAGCCCAGCCAGCTGCAAATGCTGTAATGCACACACGATATATACTAGTATATAAGTTATTTATTGTATTTATTTAATTATTTATTGCGAGTCAACTTGTACTCTTTAAGCAAATATCAAATGAGCAACACGCGTACTACGAACTACCCGCACACCCGTACAAAAGCTGTGCAATTTATTTCTGAACTCGTTAAGAAGTGAAATGTATATTTGCGACTACAACAATACTCTATACTCCAGTTACATACATAGCAACAGCTAACTCGTAGTTATAAAACTAAACAACAACAACAAATATATACATATATATATATATATATATATATATATATATGTGTATAACACATCATTGTCAAAAGAATTCCAGCAAATAAAACTGTAAAATTATAATAAATTTTAATATTATTTTGTATGTAAGTCACTTATATAATTTTCAACATAGTGCGAAAAACTGTTTAATTAAATTTGGATATTGATTAACAAATTTAAAGCGGTCAAAGAATATAAGTTTGCGCACGTGTGAAATATAAATTGGCGACTTTTCAAAAGATTTAGTTTCACTTCTAACCCAATTCAGTTTTGTCATAAAAAGGCAGATAAAGCTCAACCTAGGCATCAGTTCTTTCAGATCTTTCGCAGCACAATGAAGATCAATTGTAGTGGTAACAAAATACAATAGCTCCTTGACTCTATATATACATATATCTAACTAATGTTTTCTTCCAGTAATATTCTTGGTGCTTTGCGCAGCTGGGATGTGCTCAGCAATTAAAGGATCTGCGCCGAAAGCCATTGAAAAGAATCTTAATGGCACAACAGAAGGCGATGACTTGGCATTGGATATGGTTTCAGAAGAAGATGAAGAATCAGATGATGAAACAAATGAATCGCCTTTGACCATCGACGATATGGAGGAAGAACTAACAAGGCAACTTGAAATAGCCAATGAAATCGAGCCAGAGACTCGTCCCACCAAGAAAACCCCACAGGCGCACATCAGAAACTCCGCCGCTCACGCTCATCATCCCCAACCAGTAGCCGGTCTTATGCCGTACTATGCAGCACCCGCACCTATGCCATATGCAGCACCCGCTCCCATGACGTATGCAGCACCGGCTCCAATGCCATATGCCATGCCATATTCGCAGTGCCCCTACAGCCAGCCGTTGTACTATCCGCAGCCCATGTATCCGCCCTATCCATATACACCCCACAATCACGTCGTGAAGGCCGCAATAGACCCCACGGATACAACTGAAGTAGTCAACATCGACCAACTACTGAAGATTGCCAACTTCTGGAACAAACAAAATGCCACGGCAGTCTACAACAAAAATGCAACCACAAAGGGTAGAAAGCGTATTTCCATCAGGAACTGGATTAGAAATAAGGCCAACAAATATTCAACCCCTGCCACTAAGTTATAAATGGAAATTGTTCTAAAATGTTTTTTTTGATTAATATTGTGTTGCATTAAGTTTCATATTTTTATGTATCTTATTCATTTTTATTTTTATTTATTTACAATTGATATATAAAAAAATAAATAAATAAATAAATAAAATAAATAATAGAGGTTTCTTTATTATAACTAACGATGCATCGTGATGGTTAAAATACATGGCTCTGCAGAGCTGAGAAACTATTTTCTCACATACCAGTTTGCTCGTGTCAATCCCGCTTAATTTTGCAAGGTTTGAAATTGTATAACCACAGTAAATCTGAAGTCTCTAGGTCTAATAGTATTAAAATTATGCTTAAAACGACATAAATTTGTCGATTATTCTCGACAAAAAAGCTATCGGATGAGTTATCGAAAAATATGATAAACTTGTACTACGGTATACACGAGTATGCATGCCAAATTTCAAATTTCTCTAGCTCTTATAACTTCTGAGATCAGTTTGCTCATACGGACGGACAGACGGACAGGACTATATCGAGTCAGCTCGGCGCCCTGATCAAGAATATATATACTTTATGGGGTCTGCGATGATTCCTTCTGCCTGCTACATACTTTTCACAAAACCAACATACCCTGATGACATCCATCACACTTACTTGATGGCCTCATTAAATTTGAATGTAAAAAATCGAAATTGTAAAAAATGCGCCTAAATTAAATTTTGGAGACCTTAGCTCTTAAGGTATAGGAGATATAATTAAATAACTTATTTTCGATACGGTTTTTAATCGATCAAAAATGGAATAAGTTATCGATTTTTGGGGATTAAAAAAAATTTAAGTCTCTAGCTCTAATATCTTCTGAAATTGACGCGTTCGAACATACGAACAGACAGACAGGGCCAAATCGACCCTGATTTCCCATTGTCAATGGGTTCAGGGTATAAAAATTTAAATGTAAGTCAAATTAAATAAACATAGCAAAATTATTATTATTATATCAATATTATTGTTATTATTATTAATATTATATACAATATTATTATTATTATTATTATTATATACAATATTATTTATATCACTTCTTTAATTTAGAATATTGTGTGAAAATTTTATTAATAAAGGTCTGCGATATTAATTAGCAAATCGAAAGTGGTCTCCAGCCCGTAAATTAGCGAATTTCCAAAGTTTTTAATTCCACTGCTAACCCAATTTAAAACACGAATCAGTTTTGTCATAAAAAGGCAGAGGAAGCTCCATCTGGGCATCAGTTGTTCCACAGATCTTTTGCAGCACAATGAAGACTAGTTGTAGTGGTAACAAAATATAATAGTCCCTAGACTACGTTA